CTACCTGCCACTTCTTGAAAACCCTATGCAGTCAGTATACATGAAAATCGACTTGACAGCACTTAACAACAATGTATAAGCACTACTGTTTCTAGAAAAGGTTATATATTATTTATATACTAGTTTAGATAAGGTAGGCCTCATTGAGAAATAACAGAGTGAGCAACCTGGATATTTATGGGGAGAACATTCTGGGCAGAGACGAGAACATGTGAAGAAGACAGACAATTATCTGGTATTTGAGAAACAGGAAAAGAGGCCACTGTGGCTGGATCAGAGTGAACAAGTGGGGAGATGGTAGGAAATGAGGTCAGAGAGGTGATGAGGGAGCAGCCTGTGTAGGCTTTGTAGGCCACTGTACAGATAATAGCTTTTACTTTAAGAAAAATGGAGTGTTAACCACGGTAAATAGAACATGATACAAAATATTCCGTTAATTGCTAGATTGAGAACAGGCTCTAGGGAGAAAAATTTGGAAGCAGAGAGATAATTTGGGAAGCAACTGCAATAATCTCAGCAAGAGAGAATGGTGATGTGAGAGGTAGCAATGAAGTGGCAGAAGTAGCCACATCTGACAGAGGGAGATTCATTCAGCAGGATTTTCTGATACCTTGTATACAGTGTTGATAGTTAAAATGCCCAAAACTTTGGCCAGAGCAACTAGAAGAAAGGAATTTTTATTTATTAAAGCAGGGAAGACAATATGTGGAGCAAGTTCTTTCTGGAATGATCAGGAGTTTCATTTTGAAACTATAAAGTCTTAGATGTCTATTAGCAAACCCAGTAGAGATGCTGACTGAGTAGGCAGTAGAAAGAAAAAGATCTGATATTTGAAAAGGGTTGTTATGAGTCAGAACTAAACTGAGAGCACTCATCAACACAATACTAATACTGGTGACTACTAAAAGTAGTCCTGGTTGCACCCAAATGCTAGATCCAACTCCCTGGTTAATATTTTCACTTAGATATCTAGTATGAACCTGAAAATGAACTTGTCCAAAATAAAACTCTTGACACCTTCCTAACCCTAAATCCATATTGCGTAGTAAATGACACAATTTAACCTTTGTAGCTGAGGCCAAAACTCTATGGGTTCTTCTTGATTCCTCTTGTACTTTCACACTGAAATATAATCCATCAACAAGTTCTACTAGGTGACCCAATATCTGACCATTTTTCTCTATTTCCACTCTGGTGTAAGCCATGTTTATGTCTTACTTGGAATCTTATTAACAGCATCTTAACGTGTCTCCTTGTTTCAAAGCTGGGCCAACTAAAACCTTCTCTACACTGCAGCCACAGTGATCTTTTGAAACAATAAATCAGATTATATCTTAGTGTCAAAGTAGATGTTCAGTAAATACTCAGTGAATAAATACTTAATAAAGTAATGAACATCACATCACCCCTATATGCAGTTTTCAATTTTTTTGTGTGTGAAGGGAAAAGAGTAAATATTCTAATTTTTGTGGGCCACATTGTCTCCGCTGCAACGACACAATTCTACCATTCTGATGTAAAAGCAGCCATGTTGCTGTTGTTGTGTGCCGCTGAGTTGGTTCTGAGTCCTCACAGCCACCCTGTATAGGGTTTCAGATGAACGGCTGGCTGGTGAGGTTTGAATTGCCAATCTTGTGGTTTAAACCCACCTTTCAGTCCAGTGTTCTAGACCACACCAGGATATAGACAAATAAGTATGGGTGTGTTCCAATAAAACTTTATTTATAAAAACAGGAGCCAGGGTAGTTGGCTAACACTTTCGTTAGAGTTTAAATCCTTTATTGGTTTCCTATAACTTTTAAAAAGCATCATTAGAACCTATACAGGGTCCTATAATACCTGACCTGTATCTTTTTTTCTTCTTATCGCCTATTACTCTAGATACTTACTTTGCCTCTTTTGCGCTTAATCAAATATACTAAGTTTTTTTATTCCCAGGGCCCTTGTTCTTTTTTTTTTTTTTTTTGGCCTGGAATGCTCTTCATCTATATATTGGCATAGTTCATTCTTTATGATCTTTCCTCAAAAATCATCTCTTCAGTCTCTTCAGAAAAACCTTCCTTGGTCATCCACTTTTTTTGGTTCTCTTGAGTTTTTGTTCCCTTTCATAGAACTGATCACTATCTGAAAGTAATATGAAAGGGCTTCAAAAAGTTCATAGAGAAATGGAATTAAAAGATGATGAAAACTTTCTAGGAAATTTTTGAAGGACCCTCATATAATTTACTAATTTGTTATGTTTAATGTTTACTTAATCTCCCTATTAACATGTATTTCCATGAGAAAAAGATTTTGCTTGTCTCTTTATTCCCAGAGGATTGGATTGTTGTTAAATACTGTTGAGTCGGTTCCGACCCATAGTGACCCTGTATAGGGTTTCCGAAGAGCAGCGGTGAGCTTGAATCACCGACCTTGCAGTTAAAATAGCTTTTCAGTCTGGTGCATTAACCCATAGTGCCACACGAGAGGCAAGTAAATAGTAGATTGCTAATGTGGCGCCATGGGTTAATGTGCTGGACTGCAAAGTCGGTATGAATCGCTATGTCGACGGTTCAAGCCAACCAGCTGTTCCTAGGAAGACCTATACAGGGTGGTTATGGGCTGGAACCGACTGGAAGGCACTTAACAACAGCAACAAATAAATGTCGGTGAGATAAATGAATGAATATGAAAGTGTTTTAGAAATGTTAAGTGCTATTCATATGTTAGTAGTTTTTATAGTTAGTTCCTAATTTACCAGTATTTGAACCACAATTGCCACTGTTTGTTTTTAATTAAATTCAATGCTGCAGTATGCAATTTGCTGATGTTATTCTCAGATGTTGACACAAATGTTTACATGTACTGTTTCCAACCCCCAAAGACAAATGAAGGTGGATTTATACAGATCGTAATAATAAAAAACAATAATAATGGGGGGGAGATATTCAATTTATGTCAGAACCAAATTATGATGGAATCACTGGAACAGAACCCCATCATAAATCAGACTCCCTGTACTCTTTTAGAGGGAAGTGGATGAGTGGTAAAAGGAAAGAGTAAATAGGGCATGGCAAGAATATCACTGGCCAAAAGAGTCCTGGGTTTGAATTCTTAGGCCCGAGTCCAAATACTTGAGAGTCTCAGCTTTCTTCATTCTAAATGAAAGCTATCAATCCCTGGGAGGTTGTGCTGGGGATTTGATAAGGTGATAGGGGGGGGGGGGGAAGAATCTTGATAGAGAGTAAACATTGAATCAATGCTGGCTCAATTGCCAAATTATCCTTTCTGTCATAATTTATGGAGTCCTGGTGTGGTGCTGTAGGATAAGCACTGGATTGCTAACCTCAAGACTGGTGGTTCAAACCAACCAGCCAATCTTCAAAACCCTATACAGGGTAGCTATAGATTGGAACTGACCCAACAGAACTTAGCAACAACAGTATTATAATTTATAGTACTTGGCTGATAACTCTAAGGTTGGCTGTCTGCTCCTATAAGAAACTCTACATAAGGTCACTACCAGTCAACATTGACTCCAAGGCAGTGGTTTTGGGTTTGGCTAAGGTATTTCTATCAATAAGCTTTCAGAAGCTAAAACTTTAAAAAATGTTAAAATATGTTTAGATGTTAAAAACTAATACTAAGTGTTTTTGTAAAGCTTCCATCCTGTAATTTAACTTTCTGAGCCATTAATTTTATGTTTCTATTTAATAAAAGAAGGAAAAAAACCAAGCAGACTCTTTAAGGTCTTAAATAACACCTTAAAAGCTTGACAAAGTAGTGCAATTTCCATTATTTATTTTTTAGTGAAGTTACCTATAAATTGGGAACATTTAGGTTAACATGCAAAACAGATCAAAGTCTCTGATCAAGAGATAATGTAAACTAATGGCTAAATGCATCAAATCCTTTTTTCTCCTTCTGAGACCCTGGAGAACTGTTAGCACTGACACAGTGTTTCTTTTCTAAACAAAGTCAAACTATTTGCAAGTTTTTCTAGGATAGATTAACCTGATCCGTCTAGAAACACAAATAGAAGGCAATATATTCAAAACATCTCATGCTTGAAGGGTTACTTGTAACACCAGTTCTGTTTGGTTGCAGTGATGCATTCAAATACCACTAGATAATGCAACTACTCAGAATTGCTGACAACAGATTTGTTACTACACAAATAGACAAGCAGTTGTTCCAGGATCTAAACCATTCATGCCATCAAAACTCTTTGAAAAACCTCACTTCAACTGCTGATACGATCACTCACTCATCAATGGCAATCTTCAAATGACCCTTTATTAAAGGGTATATTATAGAAATGAATATGCTGTGACTGAAATGATGTCAATATAAACTGTTTTATAGGAAGTGAAGTTTACGTAGTAGTCAAAGCAAACAGCTCAGCAGAATTCTTTTGAAAATGATATTCTTAATTTGAATAAAATAATTTTAATAGCTTTTAGGGGTTTCATCTTACCTGAGAAAAACATGGATCTCTATTCAGAATTTTAAATTAGTTGTTCTAAACAAACTTAACCAGAGCACTTAGTGCACAGAGAGAAAGGAACAAAATATATCCACTGTCTCTATTAATCCACAGAAGTGCTCAAGAGTGAACAAAAGGGAAACACATTTTATAATCCTTTATTTTCTTGTAATATAAAGTTACAATATAATGATATACCTAGCAAAACAAAAGCCCTAGGGTGGCGATGTATGATAAGCATCGACCCATAAGGTGGGCAATTCGAACCCACCAGCCGCTCATGGAAATCCTATACAGGATCGCTGTGAGTTGAAACTGTATGAACGGTATACAATAATATATAACAAGCAAAACAAATATAGGGACTGGATAAATACCTTTTCTTCAGGTATACTGTAGCGCACATTTTCTAAATATATTGATGTATTCTCCACATTTGTATATCGCAAAAGAATATGAGCAAAATCTTCTTCACTGATGGTACTCATCCCATTAGAGTATGAAAGGAACTCTATTTCTAGAACTTCCGTTTGTAGGTTATCCATGAATCTGTGACAAAAATAAGATAAAGAGTGAGCAAGATAAATATAAAATAATTATATGCTGACAGAAAGCTTCATGAAGTTCTCTCTGTAAGTAGAAAAGAAAAGAGCCCAAGTAGGAGAAGCTTTACACTTAACAACTGTGACATCTTGGGAAAGTTACTTGACGTCTCAGGATTTGTCTCCTCATCTGTAAAATCAAGGTAACAAAAATATCTCACAGAGTAAGGAAAACACTTTAAAAAGTTAATGTACTGTGGCTATCACACAGTAAACACTATATATGTGCTTCTTACTGCTATCGGGGCATAATAAGACTAAGAAATTGGCAACACACTCCTGGTTGTTTACTAACTTCCTGTTTTAATTACCAGTTTAACCACAGGCATACAGGTACGGAACAGAAGCAAATGGTTTGATTTTGAGAGAGTGGGGAGTATCTGCAGTTAAGAGGAAAGCAATAAAGAGGTGAGTATCACTGCACTAGGTGATCTCCAAAGTCCCTTCTAACTTTCATATGCGAATATGTTTGCATACAATTGTAAAAATTAAGGCTTACTTATAAAAGTCTTCGAAGTTGAGCTCAGCTTTGCCTTTCCTTCCAAAAAAATGTACAAGAAGTGTAGTATCTGCTACTAAATATGTGATGTCATCAGCACGCTTAAAATAAACCACAGTAAAAGTTAGCTGTAATAAATAGGAATAACATCCAAAGCATTTTATTATAAACATATATATATATATATATATATATATATATATATATATATTAAGAACATAAGCATATTAAGACTAGCATGAAAAGCACAAGACTATATAGCAAAAACAAGAAACCCAAACTTATTGCCATCAAGTTGATTTTGACTCATAGCAAATCTATAGGGACCCTATAGGAGAATAGTATAATTGCCTCATAGGGTTTCCAAGGCAGTAATCTTCTCCCATAGATTAGCTAGTGGTTTTGAACCTCTGACTTTTCAGTTATCAGCTGAATACTTAACCACTGTGCCATCAGAGTTCCTCTACATGGTTATATAAATACATGCAATTATAGTTAAAATTAAAGTCAACATTTGAAAATAGAAATCTGAATGAAACCGATCTTTATCCTTAAAAATTTGAAGATACAGTGAATTAAAAGTGGTGCTGGAAAAGCACTGGACTGCCAACTGCAAGGTTGGTGGTTCAAACCCAGGTCATTACGCATTGGAACTGACTTGATGGCACATAACAATTCAACAACACATTTTTTTTTGAAGTCTTTACCCTCAAATTATGCATGTAGTCTATCTACACTTTAATTGTAAAGAGTTAAATACTTTAGTAATAATCTAAATATTGTTTTTATTTAAATAATTTAGTTTAGATTTTCTTAATCAACTGAAAATCCATTTAAAAAAAGGCAAATTATTCCGACGTAGTGAATATTATTAGGGCTGACAACAGGATAGCCTCAAACGTTACAAAGCAGCTTCCTTACCCATGATACTTTCCTATTGAATTTCATAATTATGATACTTAAACAGAACATATTGCTTAGAAAACTATAGTAATAACTACAGTAACTTACATAGTAAGGTAAAACTAAAACAATAACATTACTTTAGATTATTTATAATTTTTTCAAGAGAATTCCGACAGTTTTTTTTTTAAGTTTTTATTGTGAATTATAAAGTAGTTTACATGGCAGAACATTAGCTTTACATTCATCGTATCTTATTTCATTTCACTGCAATGATTACAATCTCCTGCATGCATCATCAAACAACCAAAGGGTACACCCTGCAAGCCTGACCCCTGGCTGTCAGCAGACAGCCCATATTCTCCCTCCCTGAGTCTGAAGTCTCCAGTCGCTCCATCTCTCCACGTCATCGTCTCTGCCTCCATGTCTGGCATCACCATTTCTCTGGATAGGATCCTGCACTTCAATTTTCTCCCTTGATGGTTGCAGGGACCTCTGCTCCTGGACTGTAAAATCAAACACTCCCTTCCTTTTGTTACAAAACGTCTACCTTTACCTTTCCAACACTCACAGTCAATCCTGATAGCAATCATTCCCTATTGAACCACAAGTCTTATCCCCATCTCCTTTCATCAGCCCCATCCAGACAGGTTAGAAATCACTGTGTGGAAATTCTACCTTTCCCAGTACCCTCTGGAACTAGGTTCCCTATTAAAAGTTTGTAAGCCAGTCACTTCTTGCCTTTTTACCACCCCCCCCCCCCATTTTGGGTAGCCAATATCTAAGTTGCCAATGCTTGTCGACCCTGTGTGCCAAGGGGTGGGAATGATCCTAGCTGTAAAGATTTGCTCCCTCCTTTTATCTACTGCACCAACAAGCATAGATCAAGTTCATCAAATTGTAGATTATTCTTTTTTTCACCTCTTCTTTCTTCCTCTAGTCGAGTTCTGATCATCCAGCCATTGAAGGCAGGTCAAGTGGGTACTATCTGCAAGTATGGGTGTTCTTGTGCATCTCCCCTCACTTCACATCAGTTGGACACTTCACACTCCGCTCTAGTCCTCTGTGGCCATGTCCCTGTCCCTGGGCCCAGGAGTTCACAGGTCTCGTCACACTGCTGGCTAACAGATCTCAATCCAGGTTAATAGGAGTCTATTTAATGTGGTCGGACTTAGTTCACAACTTCACCGCTATTTCCCCCACTTCCTCTTATTGGTGACCAATGTGATTAGCAGCAAGCCCACATGTCTGCTCGTGTATTACCCTTAAATTTTAGTCTTGGAAGGGGGTTGGCTCTGAGGAGACCTGACCACTTGCCTTGATAGCTCCTGAGGAAATGACTTGTTTGTTCTTGTAGTAGTCAATCAGACTGCTATTATTGTTTTTGATTTTTCCTGCTGGTCTATTTTTCAAGAAGTACCTTCTGTTTTTCTAGCTGCTCTAGGTTGGTCTGCTTGTCCTTTCAAGTGGAAATTTCCTACCTCTGAAGATTCTGGATGGGGTTCAGGATTCTATCTATGGTCTTATGCAATACAGAGGCTCTGCAGGAAGTCTCCTTCACTGGGCAAGTTCTAGCCCCATTTTAGGTATTCCAATCAGTGGAGCTCTGGTAGCATAGTGGTTACGAATCGGGCTATGAGCCACAAGGTCAGCAGTTCGAAACTACCAGCTGTTCCACGGGAGAAAGATGAGGCTTTCTGCTCCCGTAAAGATTTACAGCCTTGGAAACCCTGTACAGGGTTGCTATGAGCTGGAACCGATTCCACGGAACATAACAACAACAATCAGTTATGGGCTGAAGATGGACTTACAAGCTTTCTATGGTGATGTTTCTGGCTATTCCTTTCTCTCCCCCTCAAGTGTCTATTTTACAACAATAGAGAAAGAAAACCCAGATTTAAAAGACAGCCAAGCATCTTAACATTATTTCCTCACTTTTACTGAAACCATGCCTCAATCCTTGTATCCCAGAGCCCTCTTGTTCCAAAGTTGTGTTTACATCGTTATTTACCTGTGTCCTATTTACCCCATGCAAACCTGCCTAACTGTTCTCCCATCCACCTTGTGTTTCCATTCCCCTCACCCCAGCATCCAAACTATCCTGTCTGACACAGTTTTTTGAATGCACAAGAAATTAATTCTAGAAGATGTTTCTTTTTTCATTCCTTACTCAAACTGATCACCTAAGTTTGAATAAGTGTTTTAAAATAAAAAATAATCATCATGATTACTGTCCTTATAAAGCTTTAACAGTCTAAGCAAATCTTTCTTTCCTTTAAAGCTTTTCCTTATTCCTTTTTCTTTTTTCCTCTTCCTTCTGTATTTCTTTCCTCCTCTCCATTCTTTGCCTCTTCCTTCCTTTTTCATTTGACCATTAATTCATGCCCATTTAATAAGCTGAGGTACAAAAAGCAGAAAATGCAATATAGCATCCTGAGAAATCTTTAGAAAAATACAAGGTTTAAAACTGCTATCATCTTCTATATTTATAAAAAATAGCTGCAAATATCCACTTAGAGGTATTTTAACTATGTTCTTGACCAGGATCCTGATGTTGTTGCTGTTGTTAAGTGTCATCGAGTTGATTCCGACCCATAGCGACCCTATGTAGGGTTTCCAAGGAGCAGCAGGTGAGCTTGAACTGCCAACCTCACAGTTCAAATGATTTTGCAGTCTGATGCATTAGCCCACAGTGCCATACCAAGACTTCAGGATCCTGATAGTCTGCCATATAAAACTAAGAAAGAGAAAACAAATACTTCTCTACAAATGACCATCTATTTCTATGTTTCCAAATAAAAAGCCACATCTAACACACCTTCTACAGATTAACATTTGATGCTATTCCTTGTATTCTGCACAGCACTCTTCCCAAGATTTCATGAAGATAGTCATTTTATCCTACATAACATTTCTGAGATCTTTATTTCTTTTATCCTTAAATATTCTTCTCTTCTAATGACTAGTATGGAGTAACAGAGACTACACTTTCTCTCCAACGTGCTCTCTTTTAAACCATTGAACTGTTTATGGAAACAGTTATCTTTCTGCTATTTTGATTATTCATGTCTGTCAAAACTCCTGGATGTAGTCATCTATATTTTTAAATTACCTAAAGTAGTTGAGACTCCTGGTGTGGCGCTATGGGTTAATGTGCCAGACTGCAAAGCAGTTTGAACTGCAAGGTTGGCAGTTCAAGCTCACCAGCTGCTCCTTGGAAACCCTATACAGGGTCGCTATGGGTTGGAACTGACTCGATGACACTTAAAAACAACAACAACAACAATGTAGTTGAAATCCTTTAGTAATTATCTATGTTGTTGTTAAGTGCCATTGAGTTGGTTCCTACTCAGAGCAACCCCATATAGGGTTTCTGAGGAGCAGTTGGTGAGTTTGAACTATCAACCTTGCAGTTCAAACCAACCATGAGGTCGAGTGACTATCCTATGGTGCCACATACCAGTTGTT